ATAGTCCAGAGCAGATAAGAACTAGGTTGACGGATTGGTGAACTGGTATAAGGAAAACAGCCTAGTTTTAAACAATGGTAAAACCAAAGAGATCATTGTTGATTTCAGAAAAGGTAGGCACAGCCACACTCCTCTGTGCATTAATGATTCACATGTGGAAATGGTTACCAGCATCAAATTTCTGGGTGTGCAGCTAACGAGTAGGCTGGCTTGATCGCTCAACAGTGAGACACTGGTGAAGCCGGCCCAGCAGTGACTGCATTTTCTGCTTTGCATGAGAAAAGCACATCTTCCTTCCCCTGTCCTTACCACTTTCTACAGAGGGATGATCGAGAGCATCCTGTCATATTGCGTGACAGTCTGGTTTGGAAGCATCACTACTTCAGACAGGAAGGCGGTGCAGAGAGTGGTGAGGATGGCTGAAAAGATTATTGGCAGTTCCCTCCCTTCCATCCAGGACATAGCATATAAGTGTTGCTTGAGCAGGGTCTGGGACACTACACATCCTCTTCACGACATGTTTTCTTTGTTACCTTCTGGGAGGAGGCTTCGTGGTATCCAAAGCAGAACAGCCAGATTCAGACAGTTTTGTTTCATACAGTATTAACCTTGTGAACTCTAAGGCTTCCTCCTTCCATTATGTATTCAAGATGGACAGTGATTAATATTTATATGTTACTTATATGTAAGGTTATAGGTGTATACATATATTGTATATCGTATGTTTAAATGTGTCTTATGTGTGTGTACACTTTGAGAGCAAGCAACTAAATTTCATTTTTAATGTGTGCCATTGTCCCCATAGTAAAAAATGACAATAAAGGTTATCTATCTATCTATCTATCTATCTATCTATCTATCTATCTATCTATCTATCTATCTATCTATCTACTGAAAAGCGATGGAACTTCAGAAATACTGAAAAGCGATGGAAAACTCTTACTTTCTAACAGCATCTGCTTGCTCTTTGTTTTGTTTCCAACCAACTACATGGGCACAAAACTCTCTTAGAGAAAGAACAGCTGCTGTAATTTATTTTCCTATAATATTTCACTTATAGCAACCTTCAGCTGTGAAATCCACTATATGTTAGGATAATAAAGGTTAGATGTGTTGTCCCACACAAATACCATCACGGAAAAAAATGTCATATTAAGATTGAACCATCTAAATAAAGAATGCATGGTTCAAAACAGCATATCTATACATCTAAATCGTTCTTTCGCAGAATGCTCAACCACAGATATAGACCAGCCAATTCCCTGGGTGTAAGGCTTGTAACTAAGGAGGATCCCTTGGAAATTACAAATAAGCAGAGATGGAACTCATCTTCTATTTTCTGTTTTTGTTTCCCGTATAATATGCCGTCTACTACTTATGCACATGCTTACAGATTATGGCTACAAAATTACAGCCAGCCACTAAATGGCATGAACTATAGCACACGTAGTCCTCAACTTTCAACGGTAATGGAGCCTGCCCATTACCATGTCATAAGTCATGGTAGTCGTAAAGCAGGTCACCCATATGACCGACACAATTTTATGACTTTTTTGCATCAGTTGTAAAGCAAATGTTGCAGCCATAAAGCAAATCGATTGTTCCCTATAAGGTGAGTTTTGCCGGAAACTGGAAGTAAATGTTAGTTTTCAGCAAAAATGTTATAAAACATGGTCATGTAACTGCAGGTTGCTGAAAATGGCTGTAAAAGTGAGCTGGTCACTTAGTGCCTGATATGCGGTCATGTGACGGGAGGGGAGGCAGCAATCAGAAATTCAGAATTGGATCTTAACTACCTTTGGGGAAGGTGGGTCTGTGTAACTTTGAACGGTTGCTAAGCAACCGGTTGTAATTCGAGGATTACCTTTACTGTACTTCTTTATTTTTGTTCTGCCATTCAGGGTTCATTACAAGTTTTGCAGTCCAGATCTAGTAGTTCTAATGATGCAGGGTCTTTTGTGTGAATGAGCCTTTATATCAAAGGGCATGCGTGCATGCACACAAAATCCAAAATGGGAATAGAGACAGGATAACTGTTAAGTAAATATTTTATTCTTATATTTTTAGCATATCCTTCCTTCAAAGAGATTAAGGGTTCCTCCTTTCTATTTGTTATTCTCATAAAAACCTCATGAGATAGGTTTGCTGAGAGAAAAAATAATAATAAGAAATGATAATATGTGACCTTCATAACTGTTGGATTCTATTCTAAATACTAAACAACAGTGTCCTTTCTATATAAATGGACAATGACTTCACCTCAATTTCTCCACTGCTTTGTTCTGTGTGCTTATTCTTATTCTAAGATTTTAATCTCATTTTATTGGCTGTTTTATTTATTGTTGTGTGCTGCCCAGAGTCCCCTTTGGGAGGGGATGGGTGACCATATAAATTTGATTAATAAATGTTATCTTCAATCTTTTCGTTTGTTCAGCTCTACTTACATTTGCATACACAGAGCCTCTAAAACTAATTTGTTGCTTTTAACCATTATCATTTTTGAAGCAATAGAGTTGAACAGCCTCTAAAAAGTAGATTGGCAACACCCATATGGTTATTCAGAAGAGACTGCATGTAACAGATTGCAGTCCAAGAGCAAGCAGGAGGACACTGATTTATGACAGACAGATATTGCTCAGTATGCATATTCCCCAGGCTTTTTAATTTGGATGTTTTTAAAATGTCAGCTCTGATTGTTTTTGGCATTGCCTTTTTTGATGCAAACTGTTTTCCTGGATCTTATCAGCTAATGTAAACTGCCCTGGAAATGTGGAACTGAAAGACAGTTTCAACAGAAAGACAATGTTTCAACAAAAACACCATAACTGCTTAATGTGGTTTGATCCTGCAAAGAGTAGCTTGCTAGTCATTGCAGATCCTACTTCAAAGACAAAACATGTAGAAAAACAACAACAAAATAACATGACATTCGGGATAGGCTTTATGGCACAAATTTCACCAGCTACAACTCATTTCCCTAATGCATAACCCTAGCATGCCAGAGTAGGTACTTATAATGGAGGCAAATTTCTGAGTTCTGGATGATCAATCATCTAACTGCGCTTTGAAAAGAGATAAGGTTTCAATCATGAATTTATTAAATAAGAAATGTTCAAAACTTAGTGTGGTGTGGCTAAAATAACATCCCCTATTAAATATATATACTTTGAATCAATGGATTTCAAATATAATGAAAATAATTCCTATTGTATTTGTCACTATGCAGGTGATGTGAAATTATGCATAATGGTATTATGGTTGACACATTCTGATTTAACCAACAATTTAGGAATAATAGAACATTTCCCCCAAGCAATCCATTAAACTGAAGTGTGTGTGTACACATACAGTATATGTGTATATCATAGAAGTGTAGCTTGTAAGCACCTTGTAGACAAAATATTACAGGCTATTTGAAGGTATGGAGAACCTGCAGTCCTCCAAGTGTTATTGAACTGCAGCAGTTTTACCCCAGCAGTCCCAGGTTATAGTAGCCAAACTGTCCCTCTGGATGTATAATTACTTTTAACATTATTTTTTGGTATGGTTAATTCCCAGAATGTATTGTTGCTTTATATTGCATGATCTTGGTTTTAGTTTCTGGGTGTTACATATTTGTATATTTTAATACAAATAAATAAGTAAATACATATAAGAGTAGGTGAGTGGGAGCACATATATTAATAATTCCTGCCTTAAACTGACACACTTTTTGCTGCAAATAAATGCAAGTAAATCACCAGCTGAATTTCACTGACTCCAAATTATTTTAACTTTTGTTTTTTAAAAAACATGGCAAAATCAGTGGATTAGCTCTTCAATATAACAATTGCTCATTACAAAAAAGCCTTCATTGCAAAATACAGTGCTTTGTCCATAAGGATATTAAATGTAAGGGACTTTGCCCTTGTGGCTATGGGAATCTGAATTGCTAACAATTATCCTTCTAATCTAGGAATCTTTAAAGATATATGGCAATTTCCCATTGCTCCAATTTTATAGTCCCCCCCAGTGTTACTATAATGTGTCATAGACCAGTGTTTTTTACTTACTAGTTCAGATCTTGCGAGATAGATAAACATGACCACATTTTATGCAGTAACCTGGAGATACAGGGCATCTTTCCTATTTCTTTTTAACTGAGAAGACTTGTTTTATGATTTTAAGTTTGGGATTATTTTAGGTTAATGTATACTACCTTGCACATGTGTATATACAGTTTGACCAACATTTTCTGATTTGATGTATACATCAGATGTCATATGGAGATCATTCTAGGTCAAATGGAATTTTTTTCTAAGCAAAGCTGATCAAAGAAGTTTGTAATATCTCTTTTCTTTCTTTGAAATAGCAAGGTGGAATCATTTCTAACAGAAGAACCAGAAATACATATTGTGGGGCAAGGTCCCATTACTTAGATTCCCTAAACAAAAGTATATGTCACACTAGCCTCTTCTGTCCTAAGCATATTTGACCTGAAGTGAATCATACTGATAGGATTTTAAGATCTATGTGTTTAATTTCTGGTTTTTAAATTAATAATAATTCAAATGTGAAAATTGCCTTATGTTAAGGTAATTGTAGAGTTCCAGCTGCAGACTGAACAGGGGAATATCTTTAAACATATTTATCTAGTTCTTAGACTTACATCTTGCCTTTTGTGTAGGTGGTCATGGTGGGATACATAAAACTTCATTCTCCTGTTTTGCTCCAGAATGACAACCTAGTAAATTAGGTTGGGCTAAGAGAGAGTAACTGGCCTCCCCAGTGTTTAGTTTCATTCAATACTGTGATAAAACATATTTGGAGTCTCCTTCAGCCCCCAGATATTTGACTGGTTTAAACAGAGTTGACACATTCTCAAAGGGCCACTTTCCCTTTTAAGTGTGTAACAGTATGACTACCTCCCTCATAAAAATTAAAATTTGTCTGAAAAGTTTAGATAAACTAAAGGGAAACTTTAGGTTTTTGATAGATATACAGATATATAGTCACTATACCTGAAAAATATCCATGATCTCACATGGGTCACAGTTTTTCACTTGCTCTTTGAAGGCCTTTGGAAGGGAGACCCGGTCTGCAGAGCAGTAACCCCAGCATCTCTCCTCTTGTTCCTGAAAAAGCTGGAGCATTTAAAAGGTTTTAAATAGCTGAAGGAAGTTATACATAGTAAGGAGGAACAAGGAGTGGAAAAAAAAAAAGGACGATGTATCTTTAACCCACAAAGGGTGGAGCAGATTTTGCTCTGAGCTCGCTAACAATGGAAACTTTTTTTAATGTTTCCCTCCATCAGTCCTGCCAAGCAATAGGAAAAAAAGAAAAAAGAAAGAAAAGAAACTTGTTCCGCTGAGTTCAACCCCAGACAGGCTCACAACTTCCTTCCTGCTTTCCGACCCCCTCCCCTCCCCTCCCTACTCTCGCTCCAGCACATTCAACAAACACCGAAGAAACAGCCAATGGCAAGGGTGATGTTGGAAAAGGCGAGTAACGATCGCGGCGGCTGAACAGTTTAAAATAATAGCAGTAATAATAAAGTTACAGATCCAGCCGACCATAGAATTCGCTCGCTCTTTCAGTTGCGCGCCGCAGGCGGGGACAGGAGAGGCGCCTAAACATCTTGGCCAGGAGGAAGAAATTATTTCTAGAGCAATTTTCAAGTCTGCGCGTCTTCATGGCTAGAGCTTTTCCCGAGGCAATGGGATAGTCAAGGTGCACCAATCTCTCCTGGACAGGTATGACCAACCTCTCCGATTTCACTCTCTTAATCCTTGCTCGTTTCTCGGTGCATCCTAATCCTTGCGTATTTCTCTTTCTTTCCTGAGCTCCAACTCTTGCGTCAAAATCGATCTCCTTTTCTGGAGAGAGACCGGGTCGGAGATTTAGGCTGGGATCAGTAGCGGGCGAGAAATCAGGTTTTACGGGCATGGATCAGTCGCGAGAAACGAGCTTCAAACCGCTCCTACTTCTGAAAAGTGCCAAACTCAGATGGGCAGTGAGCTTTCGTTATTGAGGGCTACCGTAAACCGCACCTTCGTTTGGCGGGGGTGCCTCTGACACGCTGCCTTTTTCGGGTACGTTCCAAACACAAACACACACACACACACACACACACACACACAAACACATCATACCAAAACTATCCTGGAAGCAAAATGTATTTCAGCTGTCTTCCTTAGAAAGAGAAGCACTTCAGCCAAATCAACTCTTGTTGCACAGAACAGCGAAAAGAGCCCTGATCTTCGGGTCTCCATAGAGATTGCCATCATTTGTTTCCTCCATATAATATGAGGGCAAGACACGCATCACAGGGTTCAGCTTGCACACAAACCGCACAGCCGTGTCCAGCATGTTTACAAAATATTTAACTCACACCACTGCCTTCCTGCTTTCATACTGGACACACGATTTTTTTACAAACTTAGTGTAATTTTAAGAATCATTCAGGGACAGAGGTCCAGAAATTGCCCAGTATGCAAGGGCCGAATATGATTGCTACTTCTTCCAGTAGATAAGCCATTACCCTAAATAACTACATTCCATTTGAAGCACACTTCCTATTTACTAGATCCACAAATAAATTACTTTGTGCACCATTACATGCATAGAAATGATAACTGTTGGAATTGTGAGAAATAGTTATTTAAAACATGAATAAAAGATGAATAAAGACTCCCAAGATAATGAACCCTTTTCAGAAATTTAAGAAAACTTTTTAAAAATGGGTCAGAGAAAAGTTGAAGAAATGTGCATGAAACTATAAATATGTTTGCTATATAATTGTAAAACATTGCCTGGAAGCATATATCATAGAAACTCACAGAAATAAATTACAAACAAGCATAGTCTTGGTTCAAAGAACAACTTCTTTACGAACTCATATGTAGCTGCACAAGATTACTCAGTGGGATAAAAGAAAAGCAAATCACTGAATTAAAGTAGCAAAACAATTCAGCTTATAGCTAAAAGAAAGTGGCTACTTTTTTTTTTAGTTCATTTCCAATTAGCTTACTATATAAAAAAACATGGACAAGTCACACCTAGCCTTAGAAATCTTAAGAGTAACACTACCAATGCTAGTGTTTACCTCATTAGAAAGATGCTAATGCTGTGGATTCTGTACTGTGTGTGTTTCTAAGATTTAGTATGATCCTAGCATTTAAAAAATCTTATAAGGTTGATAATAAATGGGGTAATATATTGTTATTTGAGACGGATGGAAAAAAATGCTAGGAAGACTGATATCAAATTTATTGCGGCCTACATCCACTGATAAGCTTCAAGAAGCCAAATTAAAGAAAATACTGGAGTGCAATTATTTTTATCTTCAAGAGTTGTTAATTATAGCAATGAAGTTATTGTAAGTTGCTGCCTGGACTCACTCAGGATAGGGAGACAGGAAACATATAAATTAAACAAATAAAGACAATTTCAGTCAGGACCATAGGGCAGGATGAGATGCTGTTAAACCTGTTTGTCTTTCCTATTTAAATTGAATACCACATTACAGTTTCTTCATGGAGATACTGATTGGGAATTAAAAAAAAAACAATAAAAAGGGGAAATGTTAAATATTGTTTTAGCATCTTTACCTTATTTAGAATCATCCTCCACTACAGTCAGCATATCAGCTATTAAGACTTAACAACAAACAAAAACTTAAAAAGTACACATTTCCATATCTACCTTGGTCATCAAGGGTAGAGAACATGGCTTTTCATGTTTCTGATAAAAATGTGTTCAGACCCATGATAAATATAGTCCCCTTCCAAGTACTACGAGGCTCTTTGGTATGGATTAGAAGATTGTAAAGTAATAACTATAGTATATATTACACATTATGTTGTTTTATTTAATCAAATATCATCTCCTAAAGTTATCAGGTTCCTCACTCTTTTAATTGGACATTTAAAAAGATATAGAACAAGCATCGTAGAAAAAATGCATAAACCAACAGTACATTACATATTATCCCTGCATATGCTTATTGTCTCGTTCGTTCATCAAAAAACTCACATTATCTCCTCATATTGGCTAGATGTTTGATCAGGTCACTATGGACTATGTGAATACATATTGGGCTAATCCTGTATTCAAAATTCAATATGGTTTATTCTTGCCAGCAATTATGGTGTGCACATTATATAATTCTACTTCAGTTTCAACATTGTACAAACTTAAATATTCAAAGCATAGTAAATAATTAGGCAAACTTATTAGCAAGTAAAAAAATCTACATTTTATTCTTGTATGCAAGTAGATGGATAAGTTCCAAAGATTCATACAGAAGCGTAGCACACAGAATGACAGATAAATAATTACATTTGCCACAGCATGAAGGGCATTAAGTTACACCAGAATCAAAATTCTTAGCATATAAATGATACCAAAATAAGAGGTGTGGTTTCATTTGGAGAAGCAGTACTACACAGATGTGTAAGGTTATAAATCTGTCTACACTAGTACAATACATAAATAGCATAGCACATGTATAAATGCATGCTTAAATATGTAATACTAATAAAACTATATATCCTTGCAGCAGGAAATAATTATATATTGTGCTTTCTCAGATTTTAGAAATAAATCCCACTCAGTTCAATAGAATTTAATCTAAATACAGGTTGTTTTTGACTTGCAAATAACTGAGCATGAAATTACTATTGTAAATCGTGCTAGTCATTAAGTGGGTCATCATGTGACCATGCCTGATTTTACAGCCTTTTTTGCAGACGTTGTTAAGTGAACTTAAAGCAAATTCTGTAGTTGTTAAGCAAAATCTGCAGTCGTTAAGAAACCCTTTGTCAGCAATGGATGTTTTTTGCTGGAAACCGAAAGTATATGCCTATTTCAGGCAAAAAGCCATCAATTGTGATCATGTGACTGCAGTACACTTCAGATAGCCATAAATGCAGGCTAGTTGCCGGGTGCCCAAAATACAATCACGTGATCCTGGAGGGAGCCCAATGGTGCCAAGTCATAAGTACCCTTTTAGGTCCATCATAACTTTGATACTAAGTCAAGGACTACCTGTATAATCCCAACAATTTCAGTAAAGAGACAATTTACTGAAAGTTTCAAAAATTAATTAACCCAACAAAACAGTAATGTGTCTTGTGACTTTCAAGATGACTCCAATTTCCAGCCCTCTCAGTCAGTATGGCTACCAGGAAGAAGGCTATACATTTTGTATCTTCCCATAAGGCAATACTGTATAAGGAGTAAAAATGAGCACAAGTACAGTTTAAAGTGATGTAATAAGAAATAAAGTAAAAGAGCAAAGTGTTGATGCACAAAACTGTTCTACCACAGAAAAATGAATTAAGGAGAAAATCTACAGCTCTGTTTCTAACTTCATGTTTCAAATATTTATGAATACTATTGTTTTAATTATAACATCATTATTTTATTTTTAGTTTCCTCAGATGCAATTTCTAGAGCATATAACGATGAGCCTTCCAGCATTACTTCTCACAACTTCGAGGCCAACATTTAAGGCCTTCTGTCATTCCTTCCCATAGTTACTTTCATTTTAAAAAGAAAAATTATACGTATTAAGTTTTGGTTTTCCTAAGTTCCATGACTTCTCCCTCCCACCTTCCCAGGAGAAAACCCATGTTTAGGTCCAGACTTGCTCCTTTGTTTTCATGGAAGGACTTCAGATACTTGGCTACTTTCTTCCTATCTGTTGATTTTTTTCTGACCCATGGCCAGAATGTGGATGGTTGGCATCACTAGCTACTAATTTATTATACCATCTCAAGCTTTTCCATTTCTTGACCCTCTCAGTATCTTCTTGGGGCTTTGCCTGAGAAGCAGAAATGGTAGCTTTACCAGTACTTTTATTCTTTTATAAAAAAAAACCTGAATTTAAGACCAACTGAAGGAGACCAAGAAGATCAATCTTCTTGCCATTAAGCTTTTTTTTTTCCATCATAGGGAATACTGATTGTGAGATCAAATTTGGGTGCGTCACCAGGGCCAGAGATTTACTCTTCCAAGCGTTTGGACTCATGCTGGAGCCCGTCTTCAGGGAATTATAGGAGCTGAGGGCTTGGCGGCACAAGGAAACAACAGCCAATCGCCGGCCATCAACACACCAATCAGCCAATATAAGGCACCATATAAATACAACTCACAGAACAGCCCAAAGCATGAATTCCAGTAAAGAGAAATTCCCTCAAGATGGGCTCCAGCAT